CCATCTGATGGTCAGATCCTGGCTGCCTGACAGTGCCGAGGCAGGCTGCTGTTAGTCCCTGAGCTTCCTTTTTTTGGCCGCCTGCTGTTTCCATCCCCTGTCACTGCAGTTCTCCTTAACTCACCTGTTCCTTTTCTTTGCCCCTGAACTGACCCTTCCTTCTCTTTTGCCTTTTATTTTTCCTGGCTGGCTGACAGAGAGATGGAGGGGAACCTGCTTCCCTTGCCACAGCACCATGTGGATACAGGAATGGGCCTGGAAAGGCTGGTGACAATTCTGCAGAACAAACGCTCCAACTACGACACAGATCTCTTCACTCCCATCTTGGATGCCATTCACAAGGTGACGGTGCTTCTCCTCAGTGTCACAGCTAAGCGAAAGCTCCTTGCATGCAGACTGCTGGTCTGGTACCGCAGTACAGCCTTCTCTGCTGTTACTGCACTATTCTGAGACAGGATGTATGTCCAGCCAGATCCAGAGCCACAGTCTAGGGAAACTGGGGAGAATTCCAGGTTGGAAATCTGCTGGGATATCAGCACTGCTGATCCATTTTTCTTCCAAAGTTTCTTAAATTCCTCAGTGCCAGGGCATTGCGTGACCTGTCTTAGGTTGTGAAGTCTTGGTCTATAATGCTCTGGAAGGATTTAATGAGTACATCTTAAATGCATGATGTTCAGAGGTGGTTGAGAAGAATGATGTCAAATGTAGCTGGCTGTCTCTTTGCACTGAAACTTTTCCTTCTGTAGCCATTAATTTCTGCTGATCCAGCTCCTTACTTTCTCTTTTAGGGCTGCGGGGGGCCTGGGTACCAAGGTCTGGTGGGGGATGCTGATGTTGGGCGTGTGAATATGGCCTACCGTGTGGTGGCAGATCACGTGCGCACCTTGTGCGTGTGCATCACCGATGGCATCTACCCGGGCTTCTCTGGAGCAGAGTAAGGACATAAGGACATGGCCTGGGGCAGGGGGAGTTTGGTCTAGAAAGGAGTATGGACAGCGGGGGTGAGGTTCTGATGTGAGCCCAAGATAGGGGTTGCACGAGCGTTGGGCAGGCGCAGCGTGAGAGCCTGGCAGAGGTTCTGATCTTAGGCTTACCCCTGGATAGGTGTAGAGAGAGAGCAGCTGGCCTGTGTCGATAGATCAGTTCGGAGTAGCTGTGGAGGGGTGTGCTGGATGGGGGAGCTGCGCAGGGATGCTGACATGGATGCTGACAAGGCTGCCTGGGGAATCCTGCCTTGCTTTCAGACTGGTGCTGCGTCGGATCCTGCGCAGGGCTGTCCGCTTTTGCTCTGAGGTCCTTCATGCTCCACCTGGGCTCCTGGCCTCTCTGGTGCCTACTGTAGTGGAAGTGCTGGTGAGTAACAACTGCTGCCTGCAGGGAAATAAGTATCACGTGTCCTTTTCAGCCCCACATCCCTCTCCGGTACACTGTCAGGAGAATCTTGGATGTGAAGGAGCTCCAGGAGGGTGTACCTGGTGCTGTGCATCACAGCAGTGAAAAAATCCCTTGTCTCCTGGGCATTTGTGATGCAAGGGAGGGAGCCTAGCGTGACCCAGCGGTACAGTGTGCATGTATGCAAGTGCCCATGGGCAGTGGCTTCCAAGCTGTCATACCTGATTAAAGCCGTCTGAAATTGGTCCTTGTGAGTACTAACAGCATCTAAAACACAATGCTTTCTTCCTGTTGTGAATGGTTGTGTTTCTAAGAGATGATGTGCAGGGGCTAGCAGAGGCTGGTCACTGGGAGATGGCAACTGTGTAATTCTTCTCCTGTGCTGCTGTTCCTGGGGCCACACACTGGGTCTCCCTTCACACACCTGTCTGAGAAACCTCTGTAATGCTTGTGCCATGCTGTGAGATTCCCTGAGGAAGATGCTGAGGATGTTGTCACTAACTGAGGCTCATTCCACAGGGAGATGCCTATCCAGAGCTGACGAAGAATGCCGACCAGGTGAGCAATGTGGGATCCCATGGGGAGAAATCCTTTCTCCCATTACCTTTCTGAGGCACTGCTTTCCGGGGCAGAAATCAGCCCTTCATTGAGACTTAGCTGGAGGAGTTTGCATAACCTCCTCCATAACCATATTCTCATGGGTGGGCTGAGATGTGCTGGGAACATGTTTGTGTCCTGGGCACAAGGAGTATCTGTGACAGATTTCCTTGTGGGAGCTCTACTAGTTCTTTACCAGGGACTGCTTGTCCTGGAATAAGGCAGCTGTTGCTCTAAAAAAGCCAGGGTAGCTCTTTTGTCGAGTGCAAGTACAGCCTGTCCTAACCTGGGTACCTTTTGTCCACAGTGGATTGGAGATCTAAGGCTAGCCCTGGCTTGCTGCTGCTGACAGCAGCTGTGACAGGCAATTTCTCTGGCTGTTCCAGCTATGCAGTTTTAATTGGGTCACAGCCATGAAGGTCTGACGGGGAGCATTTGTCAGCCTACAGCCTTCCCCAGGCGGATGGTCAGTATTTCCTTGACGGGAATGGTGACAGAGGCACAATGACATTGGCACTGTTCAGTAATGCATTGCAGTCGTATTGTGATGGATACTTGCAGGACAAAAAAGCTAGTTCAAGCAGAGACAGCCTCCTGTGAGACACCTGCCTGACATGCTTTGAGCTGACTGTAGCGGGGCTGGGCTGGGGAACTCCCTGAGGTGGTGTGGCTAACCCTTCTTCTGATCCTGGCGCAGATCATGGATGTCATCAATGAGAACGAGGCAGCTTTTCTGTCCTCCCTCGAGCGTGGGAGGCGCATCATTGAGCGGACAGTGCAGCAGATGGAGCCCTCCACAAATTTCCCGCGTGAGTCTCCCGCCTCTGACAAAGATGGTTTGATCCAGGTCCTCACAAGCATTGCAGTCAAAACTGTGGTGATGGCTGCCTCCCCCATGTTTTCAGTGACCTTCTAGCCCTGGGCAAGGGAGCAGATGTTGCTCCTTTCTTCAGACTGCAGTTGTTTTCTAGTACTTTGATTCTCACAACAAACTAGGCATCAGAAAAGTTAGAAACGTCCCCTCGCTGCTTTATTGACTGATTAGCTGCGTCCTTACAAGACACAGCTGAAAGAAGGCACTCGGGGCCCAACCAGAGCAGCTGCCTATCTAGATGTGCTGCACTGAATTTTAGGGATGGAACTGTGGAGCATCGTTAATACTCCGTCCCAGACAAGAACAACTGCGTGGCTTCTCTCCCCTTCCCCCTTACCAGCGCAGCTGCACACAGCACAACTCAGTCCAGTTACAAAGGCACATGCTAGATTGGTCCCATCCAGGCAAATCTTGAGATGCTTTTGCTTTCTGCGTTCGTAGAGAGTTCATGTCCTTCTTTTTGTCCTACAGCTGAAGTAGCCTGGTCTCTCTATGGGAATTTGGGATTCCCCCTGGATCTGATTGACTTGATGCTTGAAGAAAAGGGAATCAGTTTGGATTCAGCTGCTTTTAACGAACTTGCTCTGGAAGATGCGAAGGTAAGAGGGAGATTCACCTTGTAAAAGTAATTTGGAGCTTTTCCTCTCTTCTGTGAGCATGGAGGCAGAATTCCTTTCACTACTGAGGCTGTTTGGATGCACCACAGGGCCTTTTCCTGAAAGGGAAATGTGAAACAGCGGTGGGGTCGCAGTGCCTTTGCTGGTGGGTGTGGGACTGAGAAGTACTGACTGGTGATTCTCTTCCAGTCAGTAGAAGTGTTTTATGATGCTGACTGTTGCTGGAGCAGAGGTTATCATAGAATTACATAGGTTAGGAGTGTTCTCTGTCAGTCATTACACTCCTCACATAGCGCAGAGCCAGCTTGGACAGCCCAAACAGCAAGTGATTTCTGAAGAGTTTACAAGATCTCCTCGGTCTCTGTGGTGCTGGAAGACTTGCCCTGTGCAGTAATCAGCTCAAGGCCTTGTTCTCCAGAGCTTTAATGGCCTGGAAGTTTCACAGCTACACCACAAGCTGTGCTGGGAGGGTTGTGTTAGCTGTGGCTTGCGGCCTGCCTTAAGGCTAGCGCAGGGTGGTATTGAGTGTTCCTGAGCTGTGAAGGAATGGGGTTGGTTTAGCAGTAGCCTCCACTAGCCTGGATCTAAACAGCCTTCTCCAGGAAGGTGGAGGAAGTTGTTCCTAGCTTTACAGCTCCTGTTAGGGGGTTGAGTGCCCGCAGGTATCTCCTGTCTGACTGTGCCTTTGCTGTGCTGTAGCGGAAGGCTGGTGGCCCACAGGCAGGACAGCTGGAGGACACGAACACGCGCCTGGATGTGCACTCGCTGGCTCAGCTGCAGAGCGGCAACGTGCCAGCTACCGATGACTCCCCAAAGTACGCCTACGCGCTTGGGCAGCACGGGCAGTACGGTAAGTGGCCGGGTCCCGTCCGTGGGGCAAGCTCTGCCCGCGGGCGCTGCAGTTCCTCACAAGACTGCTTTTACTGCCTAACCTCATGTATGCAGAGCGTGTACTTCGTGGTTCAAAGCTGTCCACCTTGCTGCTGCGTCTTCTCGCTGCATCTCTTCTCTGCCCCTGTACCTCATCCCGAAGTAGGTGCTTTTCTTATTGCTGTTGGTGTTTTCCCAGGGCTGGTGACAGGTCTATGAGCTCTGGGCTGGTATTACTGTGCCGTGGCAAAGCCCGCTTGATTTCTGCTAGAGATGAGTTCTGTCCCCAGCAATTAGGGTGTGAGTGCTAGGGAGAATGGACAGTAATCATGCAAAAGATTTAGGTGGCTGGCTAAAACCGTGCACTTGCTATTCTTTCGACAGACCACTAGATGCCGGTATAGGCTTTTTACCATACAAGGTATCTGGGGTTGCAGATGCTTTAGGGAAAGCGTAAAGCTAAACTTCAGAGTAAGAGGTGGTTCGGCTGTTGCAAGCAACTAGCGATACATTGGCTGTGTACAGCCAGCTCTCTCTTACCCAGTGCGCTGGGTGCAACCCACACTAAACAAAGCGGGGCAATTCAAGCTGTATATACTGTGGCAAAGGCACAATGGAGGAAAAGAGCTCAGCAGTGACATGGAGTCCCAGTGGACAAGAGGATAACCCTGAGCCAACAGTGTGCCCTCATGGCCAAGAAGGCCAGTGGCATCCTGGGATGCATTAACAAGAGCATGGCCAGCAGATCGCGGGAAGTTATCCTCCCCTTCTACTC